GCTTCTCTGGTTTCTGAAAGGCATTTGTATAAGAAGCTTGGCAATTTTCTTGGTCAGTTAAGTAACGTTCTGAGCTTTAGAGGATCGGAGGGATGCATTTTTAAACTTTAGATGGCGCTGGATCAGCTGTTTTCCCTGTTTACATACTTTACCCAAGTAAATGTTTTATATTTAATATTAATTGTATTTAGCCACGTCTCACTTTCAGAAAGAAATGTTTGCATGTTTCCAAAAACAAACAACTGTTTAAGAATAACCAAGGGACCTGAGGAGTTATTACTTCAGATTTACCTAGTAACCAGTAAATCTTTTTTACCTGCCACTTTATTGTATCGTGCAGCATGGTGTTAAGACATGTGAAACTATTCAAGAAAATACTGACATGCTCTTTGTCCCGCTCTTTAACAGAAAAAAATGATTTCAATCAATTTACCACAGAGCAGATCAAGTGGGTCAGTAAGTCAGACACAGAAACAACACTAATACATCCGCTTTATTTTCAGAATAAAACATTCAAGTTTGACAATTGAAACAGTGACCATATGTGTTTGGTGTTGTCTTTATTGTTTAATGCCACATACATATCTGGTGGAAGCGGTATATACAGTCGCTTCTTTGTCAACGAGTCACAGCCAGCTCTTTTTTAATCATCTTAAGCAAGGACTTGAGACCGCCAGACATCAGGTCAAACACACCTTCAGCAGATAGACCCGCTGTAATGGAGATGCTAATCCGTGGTGCGCTACTCTCAAGAGACACTGAGCCAAGCCATTCCAGCACATATCCCATCATATCCCCAGAGTGGAACAAGCAGAAGACCTGCATTCAATTTTTATTGTTTTCTGTCACAAATCACTCTGCCACATAACTTTTATTGAGCAATAGGTTGAGCAAATGTAACAAAAAGAAATTAATTAAAATTAATATAAAAAAGTATACATTCTCCTCAATTCTTGCTTTCTCAAATTCATACTTGAGTGGTCATAGCAAGCTCTTAAAGCAACAGTTCTTAATGTTTTAACGCATCCACTGTATGGTGTATGTATGCTTTATCATATTTGTACTTTAATACTCTAATTCATTGAGTAATATGAATTAATAACATACAAACTGTTTTGTTACTTAAAATGATTGATGGATAACCCAGGCCGATGGATAACCCAGGCCGAGATATGTGTATTTTATTTACATTCCTCAACAGCTGTCTTTCCCACCAGCTGTTTTTCTAGAGACAAAGCACAGCTGCAGGGGGGCTGGGAGTTTAATGAAAAAGAGACACTGTTTTCAAATGACTTTACTTTGCTCCATCTATTTTGAATACTTTGTCAGTTCCAGTTTTTCAAATAGTCTTGCTCTCTACAGCATATTTCATCAAATAGCCCTCAGCAAAATGGCGTTTGGAGTGCCACGGGCTAAACTGGATAAATGGTGTCACCCGCCAGAGCTGTGGCCTTAGCAGACATAGCTTCGATGTGTTCCAAAGCAATTCTCTGACTTGGCCCATTGTGCTGTAGAGGAACGGTGAATAGTGTTCTCCAGCAGGGGGGAACAATATGTGATTGTTCCCCTGCTGTGGTGAAGAATCTGTAGGTTACTCTCTGTACCATCGCCAAGCGCCTCAGGAATAGAGACACAGCAAAATCTCTGTCTGGTAACCAGCGATTTTTGGAGGTTTACAGCTCTACTGTGCCGTTTTCATTTAGCTGTCGGAGTGGACAGGAAGGGGGAACTCAGCCCTTACTTGGTGTAGAGACTTTTCTTTCACTGGAGCTTCTTTTTTCAGTTAATATATCATCGCATTGACAACTGCAAGAAAAACACTCTTTCCGCAGCGTGGAGTTGGATTTTAGATGAAGAAACTCAAGTGTGATTTGTTAGCATGTCATTAAAGTCCCTCAAGGAGTTTGGTGTTTCCGCAGAACGGCTGGGCACATTTTGTAAGAGATGGATGGCACGTGTCCAAAGGTCTGTGTATTAAATTGTTTTTACATTGGTATCTTTTGTAAGTCTTGTTTTCACAATGTTATTGTATGGTACTCTGTGTGCCAGGCTCGTACAGAACAGACTGTAATATTTGCGCTGTAGTTGAGATTCTTTGCCCGTCTTGACCGTCTCTGCTACTTTATTGTGTATTATTGAAGAGTTAAAATATCAATTCATCGATGCATTGCAATATATCTTCAACTAATTAAATTTTTTGTTTTAATGAAGCCCACCTCCTGTGTGTGCTGCCATTCTAAGATTTGCATCGTACAGAGACCCCACTTGACCAAACAACGTCTATAAAATACATTTTGGAGTCAGTTTGTTCTGAACCAATACAAATAATGCTCACATTATTATTAAACTAATTTCAGAAGGTACTCTAATGAATTATTTGGAAATGTTTGTCATCTATGTGTGTTATCAACACATAGCTCAAAGCATGGATCAGAATCGAATCATGACCCAAAGAAAGAAGGAAAATCTAATTGGCTGGGTATTGTTCAAAACCTCACAATTCATAGTATTGGTGGCTTAATTCTTGAAATGATTCTGTTGCAACACTGTGGATGGCTGAATCTCGGGCCTCTCTCCTGTCGCCAAGCCACCCCAACACTGTAAGGAAGTGTTTGTGTGCTTGATTTTGTGTGTGAGCAAGACGGAGGTGCTCTAGTCATAGGTACACTGGTGGATATTGATTCTCTGTCCCTGAGGCTTGTCTCAGAGGAAACTGTAATGATTTATTATTTCACTGTTCTCCATCATCACCCCACTACCCCCGACCACCCACATTGTTGTTGTTTTTTTTGTTTGCTTTGCAATTCAGAGTTGACCATTATTGCGAACATGATATTGTTCTAGCATCTACGTCAGTGAACAAATGTTTACAGCCACACTGCAAAAGATTTAATGCTCTAAGGCCATTCCGTTTTTCTGGGATAATTAGATTTAAAATAACCACGGGCAACTATGGGCTTTCCAGGGCTTTGTCTGGTTAAATAATTAAAATGGGGTGGTGGTGTTACTGTTCCTACATTGTACTCTAATAATTGAATAATTGAAGAAAGGACAAATCTCACATTCAACCTGATTTATCATTCAAATGTACGGTAGGTGCCCTGTTAAAAACTAAAGTCAATACAGCATAAATGCAAATGTGTTATATCCACAGTTAAAGCAAAGAGGATGAATGGGGGTCATTCCTCTGGACTTTCAGAGCAGAAAATCATGTAAATCTGGTATTCTGGTATATTTTTCCGAAGCAATTTGGCCAAATCGGTCACAGCTGTCTCACAAAAACTCCCTCCACAAGCTGAATGCGCATTCCATGATCTGCATAGGTGTTTATTTTATTAAGGACAAAATCATTGATGGGGACAGTTCATTGGTTGCTGGATATTGGTGTAGGGAATGCATTTAAAGCAGTTGCAGACAAAACACGTTTGGCAAAGACTTTGAAAATCTTCCTCACCTTTCATCCTTCCTCTCTTGTTGTTTGGTAGCGCATTTTCTGTATTGATTACGATGGTGGATTAACAAAATTAGGTGGAGGTGAGTGCCTCAAAGTTCAGGATGCAGGAAAGAGTGAATTGTAGATGGATACCTGTACATAGTAAATGTTTCCAACAATTATTTAGAACAGCACATTCTTAGAAAGTATTTGACCTTTAGTTTGAACACTCATTTTTATTTTCAATTGTTGTGTTACAGTAAAACGGTGTATTTGTTGAAGATAACTGGTTCATTTAGGCAAGTAAAGACAACAAACAGGTTTCAACTGTGAGAGGTACATTTTCAAAAAGACCTGGAGCAGAACTGGTTTGTCATGTCTTAGGACCTTTTTGTTTAAATAACTTAGTTACACAGTGTGCTGTTTGCACAGTATGATGGACTTCACATGATGTGTTTTCAGATCCATTTGACTTACTTTTTCACAGTTATATTGTGACCATTATCAAGTTGAGATCTTTTATGAGCATGCTTTTTTGCTCAAAGTTAAATCAGTCTTTTTATAAATTCAAGGCTGCTTGTATTCACATTCTAGACATTGTAAAAACTAAAATATTTTACCTATGGAGTTATCTTATCTCCATTAAGAACACCAAGTTCTTCATTGCCATGTTGCTGACCTCCAGTTTATTGTGAAAAGGCATCAGGCCTCAAGTATTGTCAAATTGTTTTTGATTTCAAGAGTCATCCTGTATGAAGATAGAATTGTCTGATAAAGATTTATACATATCGAAATGATATGCATACATTTATAAATATAAAAACAAGACAAATAGATAAACTAATTTGTATAAATGAACGTGTATTTGTAAATATATTTGAGAATAAATATGCTTGACTAACATTCGCAGATGTCGGTAACCTCTGACAGTGACATCTGTCTGTACACTGACTAAGTGGATTCATGTATACTGTCTAGTAGATAAAAAGAAAATGGCACTACAACCCACAAGAAACAGTTATCACTAGTTATTACTTACCCATCCAGTAAGTCCACTGTTCGCTTCCATGTTGTTGATCCTGCAGCAGTCACAGACGGTAAATTTGGCTAAAAGTTTCTGCCAAATACCTAACCATAACCAGCGGTGGCTGCACAACACTGTCATCTAATGGTTGTTCAGGGGAGGGTTTATTCGCATTCAAATTCGGCGGTATTTATTTGTGGATGGCAGTGTGGGGTAAGAATGTCTCAAAATTACGTCATTGACAGAAAAGCCCAAAAGCAATCCACAAATACAGAATCCACACACGAAGTCAAGCGTATTTATTTTCAAATCTCAAAAATATAGTTACAAATACATGTTTGTTTTATACAAATTAGTTCATTTATTTGTATGTCATGTTTTTATATTTGTATATTTATTAATGTATGCATATTTATACATATCATTTCGATATCTATAAATCTTTTTGAGACAATTTTATCTCCATATTCCTGTTATCCCTGATACAATGTAGAAATTAATTTAGTGAGGTATACTTACAAGACCCTTCTTTTCTTCTTCTAGCAACGGCAACGGAAGCAAGATGAATGGGTCGCTGGAGCATCTGGACCAGCCAGATCCAGACTCCATCAAAATGTTTGTGGGACAGATCCCACGCGCCTGGTCAGAAACAGAACTAAAAGAGCTTTTTGAGCCTTTTGGAGCTGTGCACCAGATTAACATCCTCCGTGATCGTACCCAGAATCCCCCTCAGAGCAAAGGTAAGGTCACAGACGCTGATGATAGATTGTAAATATAGTGTTGAGTTATTAGTCAATAGTCTGTTGGATTAATACATAAAACATTGATTGTTTTCTGTTGTTGCTTGTTGTTTATATGTAAAAAAAAAATGTATGATCTGGGTTTGAAGGTAACTCAAATTATTTTAGGTTGTCTTAACTTGTCACCACAATTTTTTCCTTCATTTTTGTAAGGAAAAAAAAGGAATACATTTTTAGTTAGTTCTTCATAATTACAGCCTTAATAAACAAATAATTCCAACAATTGGTTGGTAATGTTCTGTTAGTGAGACATAAAGAGAAAGTGGAGTTTGAATTTAAAAAAATAAAGTATAATAATTATTTTTGACCATACTGGCTTAATGCATCATTGTTTCAAGGAATTGCTTCTCAACTGCTATTTTCCATGAAGACATCTTTTGGTGCGCTCAACTTAGAAATGGTGCTTAAGTTGATTCAGTTTATGCTGCAATTAGATGAGACTGTGAAGTGGCAGCTTGCTGTCTGCAGAGAGCTGCAAGGTGCCACTGGAAGTGCTTAGTCTCCCGTAACTAACTGCAGGTGAATAAAGTAAATTACATTCTCCCTAATGTTACTATCTAGGGTTTACAACATCACCAAAATTTCAATTCCCTTGATGGTTGAAGGGCTCACCGTGGTTAAAGGCGCTTATCCACTCATGGGTTTTAATGTGTCAGGACTCAGTTTGATGCTGGACTCTTTATCTAAATAGAAACTTTTTTTGTGCTCCCAGAGCTTTAATAGCCACACCAAGCTGTCAAAAGGTAATTGGCAAGGCCATGGCTACCTCTCGCTTGTAGTCTTTGAGGTGTCAAGAGCCATTGGCATTAGTGAAGTGGATAAGAAGCTTCACTGCGGATTTAGTCTGTGGAGATGATCTGAGAAATTGTTGTCTGGTTTTTCAGTCTGGTAAATACAGTATGTGTTTGTAGCCATTTAGTAGGGTCTGTCCTCACTTTTTGTTCTTCGTGCCCAAGTGATAACAATCCTGCTTCTTTGAGACACACATGTTGACTTTCCCCAGTTTTCCAGCACCCATTCAGATTTCAAATGTCCAGCATTATAATCAAGAAAACAAAATGAGGACTCTGCGTTGTCTTGTCAGGTGCCATTTTGTTTCAGAAACGGTTGCCTTGTAACTGTTTCTTAATTTTATCTTTAGTGGTGTCACACTTGCACAAAACTCCTTAAAAACTCCTGGTGTTTTGTGTGAACACAAAAAGACAACATTTTCACTCAAGCTTTATCTGGAGTGTCTCCTTCCAGCCCCCAGTATTTTTTCTGCAGAAAGCCCGAGTGAGCTAATGTGAGAACACAGCAGGATATAATCCGGAGAATTCACATTGAGCGAGTGGAAGGGGGTGTTGAGGTTTATCCACTGCGATCGTTGCACGACAAAAGACTGTGTGCACATCTCCATGCACGTAGTTAAACAGCTGCATTACGTTTTCTGTGCCAGTATGTTCTTTTCCGCTCTTTTGTGTTTCTTTGAAACTACACATACCAGGCAAATATTCTCCTAATGCGGACTGTGCCCATTCATTGTCGTTCTTTTTGCGTCTTGCCTCAGGAGACCCCCGCCCCACTCCTGTCTGACAAGGATAAAATTCTAGAAATTTTCAGGACTGCATATCTGACACATCTCTTGATGCAGTATGCTAAAACGAGACACTTTATTCCTGATTTTAGCACTTGACTTGGTTTCTAGCTAGTCTTTCCTTTTAGTCAGAGAACCTTAGTCTGTCAGAGCCCTGATGAGAATTCATCCTGTAACCAGGACGGACCTTGATCCACATTATGTTGTTTGTTTCTATAAAATGTATGTACACACACAGTTCAAACAATACCAAATACTCAGTCTGTTTGAAGGTATATCAGAAAATCTCCTGGGTGCTTCTTATGCTCTGTGTATATAAAGCTTATACTGTGCAGTTCCTGTAGAGGCTGAAGAGTTCAAAGCCCCCATTTTATAGCAGAGCCCTCCCCTGTTCTTTGTGGAGTGTCAGCTGTGATAGCCTATTGACATGTTAATGCAATGTTAATGTATTCTAATAGATAATCTGGCTTGATCACAGCAGTCTTCGGTTCACCCAGCCTGTGTGAGGTGAATTTGTTGCGGCAGCATCCCCCACACCCATCACTTCTCCTCCTTAGTAGTCCTACTCCTAATGGTAAAGATGGTGGCATTTTTTTTGTTAAAAGAAGGATGGCCCAATGAAATCTAGCCTATGTTTTTTTTGCATGGCAGTTAATACAAGATAATCCACTGAATATTGTTGTCATTCCTGCTTTAGTTTGATGGGTCGTTGGAAGTGCTTTAATCCCATTCCAATTAGGTTGTTTACTTTTCTAGGGATGTATTGAGGAGCCATTTGATTTGCTGTTGTTGTTTTTTGGGTTACATTTACTGCAGGTCATGAAAAAATCATCTGATGACTATCACGCCTCTCTGGATAGTTTATTTAGCCCCAGTAATTCGGAGGCAGGGCTAAGCAGCACAGAAAGAGAGCTCAGCTTGTTGTGAGAGAGAGAAGAGAGCAGCTCGATGCATATTAGAGTTCAACAGCCCTCCCCACGGCCTGGGAGCTCCAGTAACAGCATAATACACACTATGTAGGTCAGAGACGCTGCAGTGCTCCACTTCTCCAGCCCAGTGAAACTGACAGGCTGGAACGCCACTGGCGGTCTGCTGGGACGGAAGGATGAGAGGCTTTTTTTTCTCCCCCTCCTCCGCTCTTCTTTTCTTTACCCCCTCCCCCACCACCTCCTCCCATGATTCCATTTCCTTGCTCCCACTCCTACTCCCTCTTGTGTCTTTGTGCTGGTTTCATGCCTCCTGTATGTATCTTTCTATGTGGTTTGGATTCTTATGTAATGTGGCACTGCTCTCTCAGATGTGTTCAACAGTGCCCTGGCATGCCTGGGCACTGTTGACCTGTGGACAGTGCATCACTGCCTCCTGACAGCTATCCAACCCTGTGGTCATCTCCATAGCCGTGTCACACAACAGCCCTCAACTATCTTATTACTCTTGTGTCCTCGCTGCAGGCTCTGACACGAGCTGCGTGCACCATGGTGCTAAGAATATCCTGTCACATGTTTCTATTATCATATGCAGAGACCATAGCCTCATCCATTTAGCTACTTGACTGCTCTGCAGCAGTCGTTGGATTACATTTACTGTCTGTATGCACTGCGTTTTTAATGCCGTTTTTGTCTCCTTCCCCCCCCCCCCGCCCATTCTTTGTCCCTGTTTTTCTCTCTGCAGGATGCTGTTTTGTAACTTTTTATACAAGAAAAGCTGCACTGGAGGCCCAGAATGCACTGCACAACATAAAGACCTTAAGTGGGGTGAGTAAGCGCAGTATGGGCTGCATTTAGCCCCTCTACATCCCTGGTGCAGACTGTGAGCTGTGCACCGGCCGATAATGAGCTCTCGGCTCACTGAACTGCATGTTTGGCCTCAAAAATATCATTGCCGCTTCTATGCCAGAACACTACAATGAAGACTGCCCAAACACACTAAATTGAAAGGCGAGCTGACCCTACACACATTTATGCAGGTATCAGATAAATTGTACTTGACCTGGCAGCAGGCTATTCTCTCAAGTGCAGGACCCTATGTCTCAGAGTTGAACTAATATTGATGCTTCTCTTTATAAGTCATAAAGCACATATACAGTTGTATTTCCCTAGGTTGGATGCATAAAAGGATCAAGATATATTTTACAATGCAGCCTGAGGTATCTTAATTCCTTACCTGATTTGTCTAGAGGGATTAAAGCCCAGCCAGCTGGAATAAGTGCAATTGCTTGTTAAACCTCTACAAATCTTCTCTGCCTATACAGCGCTCTAAATTACTCTCCCTTCCAATCAATTAAATCTATACCAAACAACTCCTGTCGTCAATTAAATCAATAGCCCAGTCTATTGGAAAAAGGAGCTGCTGTCAGTAAGGTTACAGGTAAATATTGAACAAGCTTGACAAATGAGCGTATCAGGCTGAGTATACAGTCGTAGCTCTCTTCAGCAGAGGACTATCCATCAGGCAGACATTTCAAATAAAGTGTGGTCTAACAGCTCAGCTCTTGCATCCCAATCCCCGGTCATACTGTTACTGGCATTGACTGCAGGTGACTGAGTTTGGTTTGCGTGACAGTAGAAAAGCTTGTTTCCCTGTTCCAGTTTTCTCTCCCTTCTGTGCCTTGCTCGCCTTGGTCAGCAATGCAAGCCAGTGCTCATACTGAGCAGGCCATCTGTCTGCTTGTTTTTAGTGCTTGTCAAAAACAAACCCACCACTTTTCATAAGTACAACCTGCTGAGGCATTTCATGAGCTTCATATTTTCATTTTCTTTCACTTAGCAAGGCAGGTAGATGTGCTAAAAATATATTCCTCTGAAGTTATGTGAGCTTTTATTTTTCATACATTTAATATTTTTCATTTTTGTCCTACAGTATGAAAAAACAGGTCCTAGTATCCCTTTTCTCTCAAAACAAACGGAGAAAGATCAGCATGTTCAGAGATTTTTGGCTGACTCAAATGAGATTCTTTACTGCTCCGATTTGCTGCATATTGTTCCGTGTGATATTACGTTTAACAGGGCGTTTTAGAAATGTATTATCTCAGACAAAGAAAAAATTTACTCATGTTTGAGAGAAACAGAACTGGCTTGCTTGTCAACCAGCTATTTCAAATGAACCAAAAAAGATGAGCAATGTTGACAGGAAGAATCAATAGATGCAATCACAAGCCTTCAATAGAGAAAGGAGTGAAATTGGAGAGTAGAGAATTTGATCCTTGCCATCAACTCATTGACACTTCCTCCATTTGGCCATGGTGAGCGATGATTGTTTCTGAGTGAAAGGCCAAAACGAGGGCCAGAGAGTGCTTGAACATAGTAGGGTTGGAGATGAGTATGAAGATATGAGACTCTTGTGAAGAGAGATAACGAGGAGCACCTGAATTGTTTGTAATGGTGACAAGTGCAGTGTTGAACATTTCTGTATTTTTTTTTTGTTTGTTTTTCAGATGCATCATCCTATTCAGATGAAACCTGCTGACAGTGAGAAAACAAGTGGTAAGTGGTTTCATGTGAAATGCAGGGTCACACCAATTGAAGGGAAGGTACAGGCATGATGTCTCTGTAGGAATATCGTATGTAAGAAGACAAGATTTTGCCTTGACAAACTGGGGTGTGAGATTTTGAAGAATGAGGGGGGCTGGATTGGGGGTCAGTTTAATGGAAAGTGAAAGCCTGAGAGGGACTTAGTTCAGGGAATGCACAGCAATACACAATTTTTATATAGAGTCAGGGGTTAGGAGGATTAAGGGTTTTAAAAGGCACCAAGGGGAGAAGAGTATAGCAGGTATAGAGGATCTGGAGGACAGCACAAATGGATGATACAGTCATCTATCTGGAGAAGTCGACACTCAGGCAAACAAAGCTGCTAGTTACAGAGATTTGTGCTAGAGACTGGCACCTTGAGTGAGAGGCAGAAAATGTAGCGGCATGAAAAAGAAAAAAAAAAAAAAAGTGCATGAGTTAACACTTGATTCAACTACTCCTTTTTCAGTAAAGCTCAGTAATTGTTTGGGTTTAACTGAAAGCTGTTCCTTCTCTCGTGCATGTGCAGCTGTAGAGGACCGAAAACTCTTCATCGGAATGGTTGCAAAGAAATACGGCGAGAACGAGATCCGAATGATGTTCTCGTCTTTCGGACAGATAGAAGAGTGCCGAATCCTCCGGGGACCAGATGGTCAGAGCAGAGGTAGGTGTACTCTCGGCACAGGCAGAATGTTCTTGGCCCCACAGCCTGCCGCCTTCAGCATAGCTCAAGTACATATTCTCATCAAGTATTCACACAGGCCCCTCCCTACTTCTTCAAATCAACCCCCTCCGCCCCCATATCAAGTGCTATTCACCTCAGTGGCACCCATTCCATCCCCATAGTCTCCCCCTCCTGTCACTGTTACACTCAGCCTCCAAATCGCACAGTGAAGGGCCACTGCACTTGCTGTCCAGCACAATGGCCCGTCGCCTTGGCAACCGTTGGCTGCTAGTGTTCGTGGGCTCAGCTGGCAGGCGGCTCGGCTCAGCTCAGCTCCTCTTTTACCGCCTCCTTCATCACACTCAACAAAGGCTGGAATTAGCCTGTCGTTGCATCTCCTACATACCTCTCTACTGCATAAAGTCTCAGACAGCAGGCAGCACGAGGCTCTCGTGTTGATGTGCGTGATTAAAACTCAGCAGAGATCGTTGCCCATAAAATTCTGCTCTTTTTCAAGTAAAGGTTTGCGATGTTACCACGGTTTATAATACCCCTTTGATGTTTGCAGATCTTGCATATTTTAGCGAATCAAAGCCTTTCAGTGTGTATTTATGTGTGCATTTTACGTGTATATAATCACATTGACTTTCACCACGTAGTCAAGCCTCTTTGGGTGGCAATTTAATCCGTCAATCACTGTGCTCATGTGACACGTGTTACTGTTCTCCTTGTTGTGTTCTTTCTCCGTGTGCTAACCAGTGAGGGTGGGTCTGTGTGCTTGGGAGTTGCCATTTTCTGTACTGTAATGTGTTTTTTTGGGGTTCATAACGAGTTGTCCAAACCTTTTGTCTTGTTTTGTTTCTTCTTGTCCCTCCCTCCCCCCTCCCTCCCCCCTCTCCTATTGTCCCTCCCCCCCCCTACAGGCTGTGCGTTTGTCACATTTGCTACCAGGGCAATGGCACAGAATGCAATCAAAACCATGCATCACTCTCAGACTATGGAGGTACTGTACCCCTTAGCACCTATTTCTCATTTTCCCCCTTCCCCTGTCATACATTTTGCTGCCCCCTTGTGTTGGAAAGATGAAGAACCTGCCCAAGCAGATGGCGTCCATTCATCACAGAGCATGAGTCCTTTCCAAAATCACTCTTGCCAATTACAAAATTACATTGTTGTCCGCAAACTAATTGAATAAAAGTTGAAACGTTGCCTCTCATAGCTGCTGAATCTGGAGCTAAAAGAACACAAATGCTGTCAGCTCCAATTTTAGGCTGAACTAAATGAATCTTTTATTGTTGATGATCATATTTTGGAGCCTAGCCACCACAGTCTATCATAATCAATCCATATTTTGGACCACAGGGGAAAAAAGTCCACATCATCAAATATAGGTTAACAATGAATTAACCCAAACTGGAGTAGCTATCTATCCTAAGAGATTTCTCCAAAAACTGGGTCCATGTCATTGTGAAGCTTAGTGGAAGTGGAGCAGCAGTAATTTGACAGCTAGCAGGTCAGAGGCTCCCCAGTGAAGCATCAGACCAAGTCTAATTAGCAGCCCAACCAAACATAACACTCCTCCTACCAGATTAAACACAGGCCCCAGTGGTGGTGCCACCTATTTACCCTGCAGTCACAACCTCCCAAGTTCTCTGCAAAGGGAGGTGCTGCAGGTGCAGAAGCCATTTTCCCTGTCCGGCCTGGTCCCTGTCTGGCTTTCAACTCCTAGGAGTCGTTTGCACCGCATGCCTCGTGTACATGCGTCTCTCTCAACAGAATGTGACTGTTTCTGAGACTGTGTGTGTGTGTGTGTGTGAGAATGTGTATATTGTAATGCATTTTCTTGTTAATGTCTACTGACATATCTTCATTTGAATGTTATGTTTTAAGTGTTGTCTCCATCTGTTGTCTGCTTGTCTGTGGACTCCATTCAGCTCCTGAGAGTGCTAAAAAGATTCACTGTCTGCAGCATTATCCTGTGCCCCTCTCTGGAATGTGGCCTGGCTCAGCTATGCATGGCAGATGTCCTCTAAGTGTTAGCTTTGATATGAATGCAACAGGAATAAAGAAAAAATGTCTAGAGGCATAGCTGATACCCCCTTTTGAAAAAATCCTAGCAATGACTGTGTCCTTGCATTGGCAGATAAATCCTCACCTTGCATCTGAATTATTCTGACATTTCTGACCTCTTTGCTGCTCCAGGGTTGTTCCTCACCTTTGGTGGTGAAGTTTGCTGACACACAGAGAGATAAGGAGCAGCGGCGCCTGCAGCAGCAGCTAGTACAGCAGATTCAGCAGCTCAACAGCGCCTCTACCTGGGGAAACCTGGCTGGCCTGGGGACCCTCACACCACAGTACCTGGCAGTAAGTGTTTCTCAAACATACAGGCCTGCTGAGGCCCATAAACACTCTTCAATTATCACGTGGTGCCGTTTGTGAGTTTTATTTAAAGATCAGTCTTACATACAAGTATACAGATAAACAGAAGCACCTGGCAGTTTAAAATAATATATGCAAGGCAATAGATTGTCTTCAATGCTGTTATAGTTCATGTACAAACTGATAAACCAGTCAACTTCTCTTTGTTAAAATGTGACTGTGACGAATATGCATGTTAAAGCAGCGCTGTTTTGCGAAAAAAGGACTGATTTTTGAAAAAATGTACTAATCACACAACAATTTGGCTTTGTAGTGTTTCTTTCCACACTGTATCCTCAACTGTTAAAAGGCCCTCAGATTTAATATTAGGTGGTCCTTTTGCCTTTTAGGTCTCAAATCCTAGAAATATTTTTAGAAACTTTTACTTAACTATCAGAAAGATTAACATAATACTGATGCATATAAAGAGTAAATGGAGCAAAGCAAATAGAGTTAAAAATACTGCACAATATTCAAACCTAAACTATCTTTACCGAAACGCAATGTAAATTCACAGACTGGGATGAGAGTATTACAGATTGCAGTATCAATATGAATGTACGAAGACGTAAAGACGGCTGAACTATAGTTTTGCAGAAACCTCATCTGAAAAAATGCTAGTGTATTTAAATGCCAAAAGAAAAATAACGTCTGGACTTCATATGAATTGCAATTGCATTGAAATGACAATTGTAAAATAAATTGTTTGCTAAATAAGCAAATACAAATGAAATGTAAAGATGAGGGAACAAAATCCAAGAGTATAACATCAAATCTTTGTCTTTACTTTTACTCTGTAACCACTAAATTGTAAATATAGTTCAAATAATATTAGAAGGAGCAATTCATTTTAAGATTTCAAACTTTGAATTCATTTCTAATTCTTCTTTTTTTTTTTCTACAACAGCTGCTGCAGCAGGCTTCATCCACCAGTAACCAGGGCAGTTTCAATAGTATTCAGAGGCTAGGAGGTAAGTTGGTTCCTTCAACACCACTGCTCTTAAGGCATGTTCTATAAATGAACAAGCTGGCAGTTTTCATGTCACAAAGCTTGTGACTCATTGCTGCAAGCCCACGTTTTTATTATACTGCAGTAAATCACATCTCTCTATTAGATCAGTGGCACAATAATAATCACTGCTGTTATTCTGGGCCTGTGCAGGCCACTTGTGGGCGAACACTCAGCACATAGCTATGACTTGGCGGTTTCTGACTCTATCCACTGTCCTTTCTCTACAAATGAAGGCATAAAAAGCTCCAAAACAATGTTTCAGAACTTAAATATAATGAAAGATGAAATGAAATTGTAACCTGAACGCTCAGTCGTTAAAAATCTGTGACATTGATTGCAAGAATGCCCCATTGTATCCAGGACGTGTAATAAGAGATTAAGGGATAGCATTGTCCCAAAAGAGGTTATAGTCCCCACCCTTATTTTTGGGTGGGGACTATAACCTCTGCACATGGGGCACCCGTTCTACCAACTGAGCTCAACCAGAGACCCAATATCTTCAACTTCTATTATGCATTCTGTAGAAGTTTGTTTCCCCTTTGAAGTCATTGACAATCACCTCTGTTTACTGTTCTCCCAGCCGGTGTGAATCCCCTACAGCTGCAGAACTTGGCCACATTAGCTGCTGCTGCGGCTGCAGCTCAGAGTTCTGGCAGCCCAAACTCCAGTGCCCTCTCTGCAAACAGTGGAGCCCTGGGAGGCTTGGGCAGCCCAGGTAATTAAACAACAGCGCGAGTTAAATTAGTAGGATGTGCAGTACTGCACGTACACTATTGAGCATCCAGGAAGTTATACAAGTTGTTGATGGGCATGGTTGTTGGTTAAGTTAGAAGACCCTGTTTTGTGTGCTTCAGGTCGTGATTGTGCGTCTGCTCAGTGGGGTTATTTTAACATTTTAAATTTAAATAAAAGTCTGAGCAAAAAAAATGGACACACATTTTCACAGTTGGCCTTCCTGCTGCTGTGATGGTACTTAACGCTCAGAAAACCTCCCTCATCTGCTATTTGCCCAACAGTCCTCAGCAATTCCTCATTTATTTTATGGGAGTTAATTACCCACATATAAAATTTTATGAGAGCCCCCATTTCCCTTTAATCTGTGTAAATATACATTGGCTCCATCTGTCTGACTTTAGCATATTGCTGCTGTGTTAATGACCTCTTCTCGTTAAGAGACGGATTTTTATCTGCCTCCTCACTGCTGTGTCATCCTCTCATATCATAACAATTTGTGGTAAAAATGCCACACACTAAGATGCATGTAGGACGTTTGAAAATAAGGAAGTCCCCCTCTGTGGTAACCCATATGTCCTTTTTTTTAATTGTGCCTCTGAACAGCCTGTTCAACAGCAGGGTCCAGCGCAGGTGCTGCCATGAACACCTTGGCATCTCTGAGCACCCTGCAGGGTCTCACAGGGACCTCTATGGGCCTCAACCTCAACGCGCTCACCAGCAGTGTCAGTGGTAAGCATGTCCTTTTTGAAAGATGGATGAAAGATCAACTGTGAGCTTTTGTCATTTACAAAGCTACAAAAGTTTTAGGAAGTGTTATTGTATATAAAGGAGATTAATATTATTAATATTGTTTTAGGTTTTTACTTTGCAGTTGCAGTGTTTTTTAATATTTAGTTTATTCTGTTTATCAACCTGAGGGATCATTACACAATATAATATGATCTAGTAAAACAACACTTGTCGGTAATAACCATATTTTTAAATGAACACCTATTGAAAAAGCTTAAACATCAAATGGCCAGCATCTTTGTAAGATAATAATAATGTACCGACATGTTGTGCTGTATTGCATTTTTTTTTATAGTTCACCTAATAAAGTTGATATGATGTGTGACAAGCAAAATACTGTAAAAGTTTGATTGTCTGCCCCCTGGTGTTGTATAATATTTACTACAGCTGTATATAGCAACCTAGAGTACTTTGTTGCAAGTTATAAACCGGTTTAGTTCTGAGTGTACAACACATGAATCTGTTTTACAGGGATGGGGGGAATGAATGGGGGCTTGGGCTCCATGGCCAACGGGTCAGCAGCCAGCTCCATGGACGCTCTGACCCAGGCCTACTCAGGGATGCAGCAGTACACAGCCTCTGCCCTGCCCTCCCTCTATGGCCAGTCTCTCCTGCAGCAGAGCATGGCTGGCAGCCAGAAAGAAGGTGAGAAGTTTCCCTGAATGCACAAACACAGCCTTGCATCTCATTTGTCACATTTTTTATTTTTACTTTGTATGAATCCTTTTTGTTTCAGTCTTATTCACCTCATTTCCATCCACTTTCATTTTTAAATATAAAATGAAACTGAACTGGTATCTAACTTGAGTTCATGATTTTATTACCAAATGGAGTAGGGCCAGAGGGCGCCAACCTGTTCATCTACCACCTGCCCCAGGAGTTTGGGGACCAGGATCTTCTGCAGATGTTTATGCCTTTTGGAAATGTGGTTTCTGCCAAAGTCTTCATTGACAAACAGACCAATCTGAGCAAGTGCTTTGGTAAGTGTGTTGACAGTATTGTCCTTTTTTTTTTTTTTTTTAAGCCCTGTAATTGTGTCACCGTAAATGTCCTAGTGAGACGCCTGCCAGCAATTGATCAACAGCAGAAAATATGCAAACAAAATCTCTGGACTTGGTTGATTCTCTAGTTTGTAGAAAAACAAGATGCACTTAGTAAATTACTGTAAAATCTGGTGTATAAGACACACTTTTAATACCGGATGGCCAGAACAATATACCGGTGCCACTGATTTGCAACTATAAAATGCTGAAACAAGTGCTCTCATTACAGAAAGTGCAGCTGCCGCCATCACACGTTGCCCTTGTCCCAATGGGTTAGAAAATTCATCCCCATTCATAGTGTATTGTAAGCTGTGCTGGGAAACGCCAGCGATGCTGTTGAGGCTGGTAGCACTGCTTTCAGCATCTTTTGTCCCTCATGTCGTAATCCTGCATTTAAAGAAACAGTGGTATACTCTTCTGTAAATAGTGGTGTGATGGGTTCTAGGTTTAGAACCTCAACAACTTCAAATGAAAGTTCAACTTTTACAGATTGTGGGTCTAGTCATCTGGTCATGAATTTTTCAGATTTAACTAATATATATACCCCACTTTTTGTTGTCAGGGTTCGTCAGCTATGACAATCCTGTGTCTGCCCAAGCTGCCATCCAGGCCATGAACGGGTTTCAAATTGGAATGAAGAGGCTGAAGGTTCAGCTGAAGCGCTCCAAGAACGACAGCAAACCCTACTGATCCTAGCCCTGGGGCCTCCCCCCCTCCCCAGCTCTAATGCTAGCACTGCTAGGGTAAGTTCACCCTTCAGCCAAGGTCAACACAGCAGAGACTCAGGGGGGGGCAGGGGGAAAGGAGCCCATACTAGGAGGGAGACTCGCTCTATTCCTGATACAAAATTAAAAGTGGTTGCAATGATCTTTCCACATTTTGCTGTATTTCATTCCTGCGGTTTTATCATGTAATTTGAGTCGAATTAAATATTTTAATGTATATGATTATTTATGACTATCACTGGAGTCAGTGTTCGCTGGAGGTATTTTGTGTCGCTGTAAGTAGTGGAGAGCATCAGTTGTGTTTCCATACCATTTCATTGCCTTCAGGTCAAGAGAGACAGGTTGACTAAGGATCAGCTGTTGTGTTGAAGGGCTGCAGCCAGGCCACGCAGAACCCAGAGCTCAGAGCTTCAACCTGCGTTTGGCTTCTTACATGTAGTCTGTCTCGTTCGTTTCCCATTCTTCAATGTGAAAATCTTTTGCACTCTAAATCCTTCAGTCTCTGCTCCCCCTCCGTCTCTCCCATTTCTGTCTCCCACTCTTTCTCGTCGTCATTATGTAAGCCATGTCGAGCTAGGCTACCTCTCTCTCTTTTCTCTATTAACAACCTCTTCAAGTCATTCCATCTATCCTCCAAGTCTCCCACATGGGACTGGCTCTAGATGGATCTCTTTGGGTGCCAAGTATACAGTTTGTGCATGTTGGAGTCTCTGCCATATGTCCTGGTGGTGTCACTTTCCTTAAATCTGTGTATTGTTTTTGTGTGTCAGGGGAAAGAAGGGGGGGGGGAAATGTTTATCACGCTGTCCTTACTGTATGTGGTGATTTGTTTTTGTTGTTTTTTGTGCCTCATGGCTAAACAATTCTTGTGCTGTGCCCCTAACTTTCTCTTATCTCCTCTTTGTCTTCTCTCTCTGTGTCTCTCTCTCTCTCTCTCTCTGTCTCTTCCTTTCACGTTTTGTTCCTTTTTTAGAACAAATCTCCATGCCTGTTTGCTCATCATTAGCCTAGCATGTCTTCATGATGTTGAAAGCCAAGCCAAACTCCTGGCCTCATCATCCCACCATTGTCTGTGATGTCTCTCTAAGCTCGCCTGACCAATACCTGGCCACCCACTGACCCTTGACCTTAGCTCAACCTGATTTTTCTGCATGTATATTCTTTTTTTGGTTTCATTTTTTTTCTGTATAGAAATGTGACAGGTGGGAGAGAGGTCAAGCAAATCAATGTGAAAACTTTCCTGCGTTGAGTTCATTAATGAGACCTTTTTGTTTTGTTTTTTTGCGAATGTTTTAAAAACCTGTGGGATTTCTTATTTTTAATTTAGCTTTGGTTTTTTATGTTGCTTTCTTTTTACCTCTCTCAGTAAAGTTCACTTGAAAGTTGAATACAGGGATCGGCACACAGTTGTGCTATTTTGGTGCCATTAGCAATATGGTGGCTTCTTTAAAAAAAAAAAAAAAAACATAGACCACTTTCCAACACTTTTGAAAGTCTGACCAGAAACAGCCCTCTCAGTGCTCTGTAATGATCTCTACATTTTGCGGGCAGCGTGAAGATTTTCACCAAGGCTATTTAAAAATATATTTTCTTTTCATTTAGGAAAATTTCCAGTGTATTTACCTTTTTTGAACTATTGATGGCACAATAAAAGGTACATTTACTCTATTCAGAGAAATGACTACCTACATGAGTCAACTTTTTTAGAACTGATTCACAAATAGACAATCTGTGGTTTAAATGCACACTTAGATTACCTATATTTTATACCATTGAATCTATAGAATTTAACTAACGGAACCCAGGCAAAACTTTGGGTTTTTTGTAGATTATGTTGTAATGTCATCTGTGTCTGGGGGGATCTTCGGTGTAATGCATTTTTAAAGAGGACTAAAAATCAGTTTGATCGATGTGACCGCACTTCTAGTCAATTAAAAAAACACACTTTAAGTCAAAAACTCCTCTGCATTAACTGTAATTTCAATTTCTGTGAAAAAAAGTACCTTTTTATTTTATTTTGAAGGGTCACAGTGTGTAGACGTTTTCTTTCCTGTGTTAAAGAAAATTAAGTGTTCAACTTCCACGGTACGTCTTGTAGACTTTCTGTGAATTTCTTCTTAATAATTTCATTAATGGATGTTTCACTTGGGTTACGTTTGGATGCCTCATGTTGAAAGATGACGATTTACAATGTCTGTTAATCATACAGATGCCAGACAATGTCTCTTTATTTTGTTGTTGAAGTGCCCATGTTTCAAACTCAGTGTTTCTTGAATTCACAGAAGATAGTTTCCTGTAATATTAACCTACTTTTCTTTACACACACACACACACACACTGCAGCACACACACAATACACGTTGTGATTGCAAATGTGGGAGCCCCTGAAGAAGAGATCACTTGGACACATGACCTGTGGGTCTCTGCACATTTAATAGACACACTCACAGTTGCTTTTTTTGTGTTTCGCTGATCGTTCGTTTAAATTGACTTCCAATATCATGTTTGAGTCGTACACGATGCACGGCACATTATACGACTGAAATCACCACAATAGTGTTGGTTTACAAATACATTCCATTTTTTCAGCACAAAGTTTACACTTTTTTTTACCGGGGTGGTATTTTGTCTGTTTGTACTACAAAATAACAACCACATCACCCCCCTCCCCCTAAAGAGGGGTTCCCTAAAACTACGTACCTGATGGCGCTAAACAGTTGTCGACTCAGGGGCTTTTTTTGTGTGTGAAACTAAACACTTACACAGGATTATTATGACACAGTGCACAATTTTCACCATTAGACCTTTTGATTTTTCTTTTCTTTTCTCAAAATACATATAAATATTCCAAAAAAATAAAAAGAATAAAAACAAAAAATGGTACCAAATTTGAAACCGAGCTCGAGGACAGTGTTGTAGTTTTGTAAGAGAAACGTAAAGCACAATTGTGGGAGCTAATCACTTTTGCAGAATGTTGTGTGTGATTTATAATCCCAAAACTTGCAAGGTACCACTGATTCCACTTTTTAATACGGGCATGTGCTTTTTACAGTGTGTTTTTTCTATCCAAATGCAATACAATATTCAAAGTGCCATATATACGTCTAGAAACTGCCTACACATCCTTATTAGGCCTTGGTTTAGAGATTGCTGCAGTTAGCCTTTTTTTGTCTATTTATGCCAGTGTCATTAAAGCTCTTGTCCCCTGCTCATGTCCTCCACTCCCCAGCCCTCTTCTGCCCCCTCCCACTCTTGTGTGTTGAGTTTTTGGTAAATGTGTATTGTGATGTAATCAATTTGAACAGTTGTTTAAAGAAATTGTAGATAAACAATAAACTTCCCTATACATTTGAAGGTTAAACCTCTTTCTTAGTGTGAACACATGAACTGTAACACTTTGCTATACAAACAGTTGGTTGATCGGATGTGTTGGGGGAAATTTATTATATCCAACAAAGTCACCATAAAGCTTACGTAAAGAAAGCGACAACTCTGGTGCCATGTTGAGATCTTGCAATGATAAAACTGTGTGTCGAAACACTGAAATGAGTACAGGTCTAGGGGTGGTATGATGTGTATGGTGAAGTGTTACTGTGAATGAATAAAATAAAAAAAATAAAATAAAAAAGCACAATGTACAGTCCACAGCGGTCCCAACAGGAACTTGACTCACTTCAGGGGCTTCCATCACAAATCCTGTTCAGGCTCTAACAATCACTTTCTCTGTTCTGTATTTTTCACATTCTGAAGTGCTATTTTTTGACAGTGTGGTAGCTTTGCATCTCTATAGATATTGTCTCGATCCATAAGAAAAGCGAGAAGAAGAAAAGAAAATCTCGTTCATTTCTTGTCTGATAATCGGTAGGACTTTGTTCATGTTCCACCAATAATTTACTAGATGTTTTTCCTTGTCTTTGAGAGCCAAAGTGGGTGCATCTTGATGTGATCTGTGTTATACATATTTCTTTTTTCTGTTCAGGCATTTTTTTTTTTTTTTTTTTTTTTTTTTTTTGAAACTGGGTGGGCTTTGAAAAAAGGAAAAAAAAGAAAAATATACAACACAGGCTTTCCAATTTCTACAACTGGTTGTTCATATGTATTTTGTACCAGTGGAGCTTTTTATATTGGAAATTAAAGAAAAAAAATCTATATTGGAAAAAAAAAAAATTGTCTGGCCTCTCAATGTGGCCTCGCCTTGACTAGGTCTTGAGTTTGGCCTCTTGGTGGTGTCAAGCAATTTTTGGTTGTTTTGTTTTTTTTGTCTCTAAAGGATGCCTGATTTTGATTTCTCTACATATTCCTCACTTCGTTAATCAGTTTCAGTTTCGGGGCGGGGGGAGGGAGGGTTGGGATCCTCTAAGCTCGTGGTAAGTTTCATGTTAGTATTCGTGCTGTCCACAACATAGTTTAATGGTCATCAGATTTTTCGACAACTTGTGTGGATAATTGTCTTAGTTAAAGAGTTAACTAATTGTTTAATTTGAGCCTTGCTTTTTACCTGTGTAGACTTCTTTCTGTTTGTTTTTTCCCCCCATAGAGGAGTGTGTAGCTGAAAGACTCTGTTCTTTTTTTGGTCAATGTTTGTTCATGTGTGGTGTGTTTCTTTGCCTCTGTCTCCAAATTAAACCATATCCCCTAATATGGACTGTGTGTGTCTTTGTGCGTCGTGCTCGTCCAGTGTTGTAAAAAAAAAAAACATTTTACAAACCGCCCCTCCCTCCCCCTGTGTGTCCTGTCTCGCTAACTTGTTTCTCTTTGTTGTGCTTCTCTTTGCTAATTTCTAGTAACTAGGTGTGATGGTTTATTTTAAACTTGACTTGAGTTTCAGTTAAAAAATAACATTCTACATTGCAAAAACAGCTGAACCCTCATCTGTTCACACGTCTATGGGGATGACAGGATTTTACAGGTCATAATAATCGGACTGTTATAAAAGGATTCTGTGAAATATGCAGACAGATTAAACCATAAATCAATAATGAAATATTCATCAAACAAATATGCTAAACATTGTCTGCACCCTGGCTCCTCCAGTTTATCAGCATGTGCTTCTTTTCCATTTTTAACATCAAAGTACATTCATTAATAAATTAGGACTTTAGACTGTTCACATCAAATCAGACCTTTGGCGACGTGGAGCCTTGCAAAGGCTTGTGTTGTGTTTTTATAGCTTTTTGGACAAATTAAAAAAAAAAAAAAAAAAAAAGGTTAATTGATAGTTCAACAACGATAACATGCATCCACAGAAGCTCTATGAAGCTACATATAATAATCAGTAACTTCATACATCCGGAGGAGCTGATCAGACTTCCTGAATGACTCACTTTTCTATATTATTGAAGACCTTCATGCATACAGGGGTCAGTAATTACCAAACACACTTTGTTTAAGCGTTCACAGGGTCTACAGTGCAGAAAAGACTCCCTTTTCCTGTTTCACCTTTAGAATACCGCAAATCTAATCAACGCCTCGCCTTTAAAACAAGACAAACATGCTGTGTAGCATTGCATTGAGGTCTGACGACACTGACTTTGCTGATTCTTCCTCTACACCGTTTGTTGTATTTCTATGAAAGGTTAACCTTTCTCGAAATGCATCATAATGTGATTCAACTAGTATCCAAAACCTTATGTTTACCAATGCTTAGGAGAGTTTTAAAATGTATTCTAGTTTCAACAACAAGTGCCCCAGTAATACAAGTCCATATACAGGAGCTGGTAAGAATGGCTAATGAAAGAATGTATTATCATATTTTTTTTTGGTTGATTTGGCCTCTAAGATTAACCAGAACAATGATAAGTATTTATGTTTTAAATTATCAAAAGATGAGAAATATTTGGAAGTCATTGGGGTGACACAAGTTTGAAGAGATCAACTCGACGTCATCATGCAAGAATTTATTTTAACTATCTACAATTAAAGTTTACTTCAAAAGGTAAAACCAAATGCCTGTCACAACACAATCAAAAATCATTTTTTTCCCAGGATAATATACAATATGTCATAAAAGCAGCATCCAGTTACTTATGAATCACATAAAACGAATAGGCTATTTCATATGGTTTACAACTACCTCCTACTGTGAAAAACTAAAAATGCCTCCACCCAGTGGTGAAGTTCATGTAGTAGCCTAGGCTATGTTATATATATATATATATATATATATATATATATATATATAATATTTAATGGTGCGTTAATCTTTGCATAATGGGGAAGCATTGAAAGATGTGTTTTGGGTTCACACCTGGTTTGAATCAACCTTTGTTTTCTTTTATATCAGTTTAAGTATATTTCAAGAGAACGGTACAACTTTCATTGTGAATGGTTTGTTGAAAGAGGTGGATAGTACATTGGGTTGTAGCCGTCTGTACACACGCTAAACAAAGGTAGGTGGGAATTCAGAGCAATCAATGCCCAGAATCAACATGTAAAGAACATTAAACCAGCCTCCAATTCTGATCAAAACCACTTGAAATCTTGCTATGATACTTTCAAATCGAAAGTTTGTCATTTACAAGGACCCCGTGAACGCAGCACAAATCTCGTCGCTTGACACTTGTTGCGCTACGTCACGAGTGCAACTACATTTCAAAACTTTTTTGCAATGTATTCATTTATAATACAAGAAATTACTTTACTAATATGTACAAGGCAATATTACAAAAAAAATAAAATAATAATAATAATAATAAATTATTCCTCGTGTTGTGCAACTAGCAGAAAAGTCCCGGCCAATTAGCTTCCGTCGCGGCGTCTCCTCCCATTACGTCCCTCTTTCGACAGTATGGCCGCCGTCCTGTAGTTGGTTGTTGTTAGCAGTTTTTTTTTTTAAAGATTCGTAAAGCCGCACGCTTTCAAAACATGTCGGCCGTGTTATTGTTGAAAAAGTCACTATGCAGACTGCCACCGAGTGTCGCTCGGCAGGCTGTCAGGTGCTGCTATCACACGGAGAAAGGTGTTTACGGATACCGACCCAAACAGACCGAGGTCCTGCACAAGTTGCAGAGCGAGTGCATCGCGGCGCTGAACCAAGGTCAGTATGGAGGGGGGGGGTACGGATGATTTAACAACACATTGATGAGACTGTGTGCGGGGAGTTTTGTGACTTTCTGACAAGTAAAATGTTTGTTAAGTTTAGTGAGACCTCTATACACCTGTGTCTCATTGTTGATTTACATGTTTGGTTGAGCCTAAGGTTGCATGAAGTTGCAGGCTGTGGTTTAAGGACGGCTCATCCTGACGGGAGGTTTCTGTTTTGGCTTTGTGATCAGATCATGGTGTTTCCCGTCTGGTGGAGGCATACAGAGCACATGGACACAAGGCTGCTAAAATTAACCCGTTACTACCTGAAAAGCCTGTTGCTGACAGTGTCCCGGAGATAGACATGCTGACTGGCACCATCAGAGGACAACTTAACACCTCAGGTAGGTGACCGCTGTGGAAGGACCTTGCTGTGCATATCACATAATAAACAGTAATAATAATAATAATAATAATAATAATAATAACTTTATTTATATAGCACCTTTTAAAAACACAGGTTTACAAAGTGCTTTGACAAACAGCAAAAACAAGAATAAACTAAAGCAAACACAGAAGAACATAAACAACAGCAAGAACAAACAAATGCAAAATACTAAGAATAATTAAATACAATTCAACAGAAAAGAACCCAAAGTGCACGATACACAACCAGACATGTATATAACCCGACCATCACAAGAACCATCATGAGAACCCAGGAAACACAAGAACCCAACAACAAGAGCTGAGACCGAGAGGAACCAAAGATTTAAAAAGATGTAAGAAACTAAAAGAGATCAAAGCAAATAAAAAGATAACAGCAATAAGAAGTTAAGAGCAGTAAAAGAAATAGAAACAAGTGGTTAAAGGATCAAAAAACCCAAAACTATAATATTAATAAAAATACAAAGTAAATATAAATATGAAACATAAATAGACTAAGTAAGATAAGACATTACCAAGTTAAAACACAAGAGGAGATGAAGATATGAGCATAAATACGAGATAAGACCATAAATAAAAGGACAGTAAGAAGTAAAAGAAGATAAAAAATAGTAAAACCAGTAAGAGAAGACATTAAGAAGACGACATCACATAAAAGCAAGTCTGTAAAAGTATGTTTTAAGAAGGGATTTAAAAGAATTGAGGGAATCTGCAAGTGTTATCTCCACAGGGAGATGCACACTGATACTAATCATGTTTGTTTGTTATGATGAACATTTAATATTTGAGGTAGTTTTCTTTCATGCCTTCTGGGAAACACTGTTTTTTGCTTTACTTAGAAAAAAAAAAAAGTAATATTTTTGATTTTATATATTAAAAGACCGTCATTACATCTGATTTAAAAATACATACATGTACTACTTAACAGTAAATACATGGTTTTGACAGCAAAGCACATTAAATACATGAGTCATTTTAATGAAGTTATACTATTCAATAGAGTAATAATCATCCCAATAAAATTAGCGATCAAAATCACTAAAGATTAGGGCATCCAAAAGAGACGAGGCATCATGTGTCTGTGCCGTCATTCTCCTGCAGGTCTGCGACACTTGGGCAAGGCGGAGGCTTCGGTTGAGGAGGTCGAGGCCTATCTGAAAGAAGCGTACTGTGGCCACCTGTCAGTGGAGACCAGTCAGCTCAGCAGCCTGGAGGAGCGGGAGTGGTTCGCCGACCGCTTTGAGGAACTCAAGAAGAGTAGTTTCTCCAGAGAGGAGAAGAGGCAGCTGGCAAAGATCATGCTGGAGTCTCAGGTCAGTCGGAGAACGAAGAGGGTAACGTAATCAACGCGTGTTGTCACATTTTTTTTTTTTCAAATGTCATAAATCCGATTATTTTTGTCTCGCATATTGTAGGAATTTGACCACTTTCTGGCCACCAAGTTTGCTACTGTGAAACGTTATGGAGGAGAAGGAGCAGAGAGCATGATGGGATTCTTTTATGAGCTTTTCTACCAGTTTGCTCACAGCGGTGTCACTGACATTGTCATCGGCATGCCGCACAGAGGCAGACTCAACCTCCTGACAGGCCTGCTGAAGTTCCCGCCAGAGGTTAATCAGCAGATGAGACATTTTTATTATGCATGACAAGAAAAGATGACAGTTTATTTGTCACTCCTGTAATTAGCAGCACGAGTTAAGAGAAGTTCAAACAAAGGGTCAGAAAATCTTAACAATGCCGTTATTTGATAATCCTTCTCTTTAGCTCATGTTCCGAAAGATGCGCGGCCTCAGCGAGTTTCCTGACGCCTCGCCTTCCATCGGCGACGTCCTCTCCCACCTCACCTCCTCGGTGGAGTTAGATTTCGGAGCCACGCGCCCTATTCACGTGACCATGCTGCCAAACCCGTCTCACCTGGAGGCAATCAACCCTGTGGCTCAGGGAAAAGCCCGGGCAAGGCAGCAGCTCAAGAAGGAGGGAGACTATTCACCAGAAGACAAAGCACAGCCAGGGGACCAAGTGGTCTGTCTGCAGGTATACATTCAAAACAAGTACCTCACTCAATATTCTCGGCTTAATTTAAAAGTGGCAATAAGAAGAGTGACAGAAAATGATGTCATAACACACTTTCTTTCCTTATTTGTTGTAATTACATTTTTATTTTACTAGAATAAATGTATTCTGATATAGTTTACGACCGGACACTTTAGATTTAAATTCACCGTCTCATCAAACGACTTAAAGCGAGTCAGAGATTTACTCTGGCCAGTCATTTTCTCTGTTACTCTCTCTCCTCTCCTCCACTGTCGAAGTCCTCTTAAGTCTCTTTGCCTCTGCCACAATGTACACACAGAGAACATAAGCTAAGCTTGGTAACTTGAAGTGTTCTCCAGGACTTCTGCCAGAGAGAAGTGCCTCAAGGCGTTAGACACCTCGCCATGGAAATTAGACACACGCCAAGTAACATACTGCAAGAAAGAGCGAGTGTTCAGAGCACAGAGAGGGGATGAAGGAAGCTCCATTCAGCTTTCTTCAAGTCAGTGTACAGTCTCAATGATTTATTTACAGTTTATTAATGATCCTGACTTACAAACAAGCGAATCTTCTTGTCTTTCAACAATCACATTTTAAAGGTACTGAATATATTTGCTGCCAAAAGTGGCTCAGAGATTTATAAATGTGTCCATGGACACTGTAGTCCTAAAGCTGTAGTCCTCTACCATCAGTCATGTGAAGCCCTCTTTACTCTTGATCCAAGGCTCGAACTCTACAAGAGGTAAAGAAGCTAAACCCCTCTTCATGGTATACAGGCATTAGTTCACCAGTTCATATCAAACACTTATCTTCTTTTCTTCTTCTCTTTCTTTGTCTTCTTTATCGTCTTCTTCTCAGGTCCACGGTGACGGCTCTTTCACAGGCCAAGGGATTGTTCCAGAAACCTTGACTATTTCAAACCTGCCTCACTACAGAGTAGGAGGGAGTATCCACCTTATTGTGAACAACCAAGTTGGTTACACCACTCCGTCTGAGAGAGCGAGATCCTCTCTGTACTGCAGTGATGTCGGTCAGTGAAACATGTAAACAGCTTCAGTCTCACAATAAACATTATTTTCTTTCTAATCAAGAATAAAACTGTCTAATAATGTAAAAAAAAATAAAAATAAAAAAATCTGTATACACAACAAGTAATGCACTTAATCTACCTTGACACAGGTATCATGCTTTAATCAAAAACTGACCTTTGTGTCCCCAGGTAAGATGGTGAACTGTGCTGTGATCCATGTAAACGGCGATGATGCAGAGGAGGTGCTGCGGGCCACTCGGCTGGCTGTGGAGTACCAGCGGCTCTTCAGGAAAGACGTCATCCTGGATCTGATCTGCTACCGCCAGTGGGGCCACAACGAGCTGGATGAGCCTTTTTTCACCAACCCAGCCATGTACAAGATCATCCGGTCAGTTCTTCTTTTTCACTCTGCGTCCCTACATATTTTCATCGTCCCTTCTGAACTGAAGGTGCAGCATGTTTCTTAGGTTTCCTACACGAGTGATGAAACTGAATTCCTTCTTTCCTTATTGTGTACCAGGAAACAGTCATTCCATGAGGTATCCGTACATATTTGTTTAAAAAGATACGATGGTTCATGTCAGCTCCTTTCAAGGTTAATTTAGCTTTTTTAGGATCTTTTTTTCTTCTTCTAGAAATATGACATAACAGACACAGGAAAAAATACTGTGTGATGGGCATGTTTATAAAGTTTGATGTCTTACAGTGGGCATATAAAGTACAGTATTAACTGAGTGGGACAATAATGCATATTTGCGTGCACTTCAAATTCTAGAGCAGGAGGCTTGCTAAACATAACATTTGTTGTTGTGGGAGTTTTGGTCTCACCGTTCGCCCACTATTTAAAGACTTCACTTTGACTACTGAACAATAATTTTCTCAAATCAGCAAGAAAAAAAAAAAAATCAGATTCCAGCTTTTATATGTTACTGCAGATCAAAGAAACAAGTCCTCAAAAAAAGGTTTTTGCTCATTTTGATTGCTCAACATCTGCTGCTGTTTTTACTTATTTTAATATGCTAAAGTCACATGTTTGTGTTCTCACTGAAGACTGGCTTCTAGAGGGGTTCTGGTTCTGGTTGTCAGGAAAATGTATTTTTATCAAACAAATTCCAGAGGCTCTTAAAATACGAACCATTAAAGTATGTTTACAGATGCATGATAAAGAGAAGCAGGTATTAACAGTCGGCCTGAAAAGCCTTTCATACTCTTTGTGCAACTACTGAGATCAGCTCATGTTTGGCTCTCAAGTGAAGCTGGTAGGAACTGTTCCAATCAAGTTGTAAGTTAAGTGGCCTAGTTTATTGTGCAGAATCTCTTTTAATGTGATGTATCCATTTTGAGATTTTTCTTTCCAGCCTGAAGTCAAACCTAAAAAGTGTCTTTTAAAAGTACCATCTGACGCCGTTTAGTCATACTTTGTCAAACTGATGCATCCTCACAGATCTCGTAAGAGCGTCCCTGACTCCTACTCAGACCAGCTGATCTCTGAGGGCCTGATGACCGGTGAAGAGCGAGACAAGATCAAGTCCGAATACTACAGCATGCTCAACGATAAGCTGTCCAACATGACCCTGTACAGCCCTCCACCCACCAACTTGCAGGGCCGCTGGGGGGACCTGGTGGAACCCCAGGCCAGAGTCACCACCTGGGACACAGGTGTCCCTGTACCTCTGCTGCAGTTTGTGGGAGCGAAATCTGTGGACATCCCCGAGGAAATCCAGATGCACAGCCACCTGGGGAAGACGCATGTACAGGTACAGCCATCCTCCCTGCCTATTTCTATTATATAATCTTGGCCCTTTCCGAATTGTCACAGTTCAGTATGCAGTACGTACTATTCAGGATGGAGTTTCAGTATACTGAACTATCGTGGTCATTCAGTATGCATCTTTTGGGTCCGTGCAGTATACTGAACATTTCAGTATGGATGCTAACTTCCGGGTTACATGCAGTATGGATCGGATGCGTGCTTTCAGGAAATGAATTGTGTTTTACCACCCACAATGCTGTGCGAAAATTAAACGTAAATCGTCACATCACGTCCGCCTCCAAATCAAAACAAACGAGCGTGGATTAATTTAATAAATTTTTAACCTAGAGTTAAAGTCCCGACTGAAATCGCTACTTTTAATTAACAACAGAAAATATAACAAATGTCTGCATGATTATAAAACCTTTCCCCCTCTATTTAAATAATGATTTCACTATTTAAATGCGTCTTTATTGGTTTATTTTATATTCTGTATGTTACTGTCTTTCATTTGTACTTTTCTTTATGTACTGTATGTTATTTAGTTATTTAATCTGCCTTTTACTTGATTTACATTGTAATATTGTTTTTTGTTTACCTGACTGTATATGCGCATTACTCTTCTTGAATAAAGCTAAAAAAAAAAAAAGCGGGTGAATGCGGCCAGTTCGGGGAAACGTAAATGACGTCACTTCCATACTGAATGAATCAGACGAAGTAGGCACAAATATCTGCCTACTGTGTGTGCCTACTGAATAGTAGGTACTAACAGTATGCAGCACGGATAGTACGTACTGCCTACTGACAGATTGAGTATGTACTTGGCAATTCGGATACGGCCCTTGTGTTGACATGGCAGCAGCTGCATCAGGATGTTTTCTTCTCTTGTATGCGCTCAGTCTCGATTACAGAAGTTGGAAGATGGGACCAAACTTGACTGGTCCACAGCAGAGGCCTTGGCTTTTGGCTCTCTCCTTTCACAAGGTCAGAGTTCTGATACAAAAATATATCTGATAGGATTTAAGAATCATTGAATGTTGTTCCTTTTAATGAATGGATTGTTGTTGCAGGCTTTAACATCCGAATCAGCGGACAGGATGTTGGAAGAGGCACGTTCAGTCAGCGACACGCCATGGTGGTGTGTCAAGAAACTAACGACATGTACATCCCTCTGAACAACATCAGCCCTCAGCAGACAGGATTCCTCGAGGTGAAATCCCTATTAATCAGAACATATCTCATTGTTAACATAATCTAAACCCTGGCATTTGAAGATATGTCATGCACCATGTCATATTAATGTAGTTTCATGTGTTTAGGTGTGCAACAGCCCGCTGTCAGAGGAAGCTGTGCTTGGGTTTGAATATGGTATGAGCATAGCACAGCCAAAGCTGCTTCCCATCTGGGAGGCTCAGTTTGGAGATTTCTTCAACGGTGCACAGATCATCTTTGATACGTTCATCTCTGGAGGTAAAGCTCTGATCCCTTTGACTCTGCTGCTACCTTAATAACGCTTGTTATATTACACTTCATGTAAACGTTTTGGAACATCAGAATGAAAGTGCCCTGTCTGCAGGTGAAGCCAAATGGCTGCTGCAGTGTGGTATGGTGATCCTGCTGCCTCACGGCTACGATGGAGCTGGACCGGAACACTCTTCCTGTCGTATGGAGCGCTTCCTGCAGGTCTGTGGGACTGTAATGTCATCCACTTCAGATTGTATTTGAATAGTGAACGTGTCAATACCTCAGCTTCTGTAATGTGTCATTTATGTGACTGTCTGAAAACAAGACAAACATGGTGGCAATGTTAAATATGATGGATATGGAGTGCTTAAGACTTCCAGCTATCTGTCAGACAGCTGGATGTCTTAAACAACCGCCATGAGTAGTCGATAAGAGCGAACACAGGTCACACCCTGAATGATGTGAATGCCACAAAGTGACATATTTAAGTCTTGTAAGGTTATAGGCTGTTGCTCAGTGATGCACCAAAACCACCTTAGAAGTTTTCATAGAGGATTAATGTTTTACCTCAGCAAGTGCAGAGGTTACGTTTCACAGCTTTCAGGTGTTTAACTGCAAATATCATAAAAAGAATGTCTGCTGAAATATGCAAACTGATGCTCTTGGACCCCTCGATGGTTTTAATGTGCCGAGGCAAAGCTCTAAAATTCAGTAATCATAATGGCACTGGAAATCCAAAAAATAACTTAGGAGTCATATTACATGACTTTCTGGTGGATTTCCAATGTACAGCCCATGTGTGTAAAAATAGAGCAAAACGTGTCATTCTTCAGACATGTTAGTCTATTTCACCTCTACAAAGAAACGCATACATCACAGAGAACATTAACACACAATCTATTCTAAAATAAAAGGTAACATTTCAGCAGCAGTCACAAAACAAAAGACATCAGTCGATGTGTGAAGTCACTTCCTTATTTATGATTCCTTTTTATAGACGCTCTGTAGTTTTCACTTTGGTGAGCAGCAAATGGAGATTTCAGACACTGAAGAAGAATTGTCATTTTCTTTAAACCGCTGTACTTTTTTAACATTTCAATGTGACTCATTGAAACATGGGGAGGCTTTTCTTCATTGAAAGTTCTGAGGACGACGTGAAGAGCATAAATGTTTCACTCACAACTGAATACAGTTCAACAGAATGATGGAGGGGAAATATAAAACATGTTATTGTTAATAAAGAGTGATCAAAGATAACGTTTATAATGTTGACTGTTTAACATCCCCCATAAAGTGTATTTACATTTTAAATATCTGAATCTGCTGTGAGTTTTGCTATAACCTGTATCCTATAACTCCACATTGCCACATAAGTAGTGTTGAATAATGCACTGCACGCACACATCATGTAATCACCAAAACAAGTATATGGGCCTTTTTAAAATGCTTAGCATTGCATGTCTATTCACTGAATTTGAACTTGTCACATGGAGCAGCAGATCTGAGTTGAGAGGAATGTTGAATTCAAACATAATTATATCTCTTTTTTTCAATTTTAATAAGTTGAATATCCATCTATGTTCTGTTAGAAGGACATTTAAGTGAGTATGTGTCTTTACTGAAGCGTGCTCTGTGTTGACATGATCTGAACTGTAAATGATCTCTGTTTTGTTCTCCTCTGTCTCGTAGATGTGTGACAGTAAAGTGGAGGGTGTGGACAGTGACAGTGTGAACATGGCCGTGGTCAACCCCACCACTCCTGCTCAGTACTTCCACCTGCTGAGGAGACAAATGATCCGAAACTTCCGCAAACCTCTCATCGTGGCCGGACCCAAGATGCTGCTTCGATTTTCCGTAAGCACAGTGAATATAAGGGGTGTCGGGATTTCTCTTCTCAATCAAAACATTAAATGAACTTTCAATTTAGAAAATAGAAATGTAAAGAAAGCTCAATTTCCACTCCTGCCGATTTGCACACCTCAGAAGGGGAGACACATTTCAAGACAACAGAGCATAGCTTAGCAAGTGTATTTTCACATAAACATCATGGCCATGCTGAATCGAGATACGAGATGGATAAAGAACAGAAAATGAATCAGAATGAAGATGAAGATTAATCCAGGGTATCCAAATTTAATATGCTGTTTAATTCTCCTCTTGCCATTTTTCTTACTGTAATTGTTCATTTTGTTATGTCTGCGTTATTGATTTCATCCAAATCACCCAATAATCTAGCAAATAATAAAGGCCATGAATACATTGAATCAGGACTTTGTAATGTGTTCATTTTAAAATGAATTCTAGCAAAGAAAGTGTGCAATTCAACTGTATCCAGTATCAGTGTTAAAAATACAAATTAAAACGTGAAAACGATGTAGAAGTGTCTCATGTTGATCGTAAAATCATTGAAATCTCTCTTTCTCTGCAGGGGGCAGTGTCCAGTCTGACTGAACTGGCACCAGGAACATCTTTCAGACCTGTAATAGGTGATTCTTCAGTTTCAGCACAGAGGTACAGAAGTCTTAATGTGACACATTTTAAACACAATTATTACAATATCTGTGATGTTTCAAGTGTAGAAACTTCTGTAAGGATGTGTTGTGTAGTGATGATGTTTTAAAGGAGTGCACTGTTCCTGGTTCCTAGTTTTCTAAAGTTAACATTTTTAAGAGATTTTTTTTTAACAACTCTTAATAAAGCCTACTACAGTAAAACACCTTCAACGTGTCCTGTCTGGAACCCAAACCTTAACCAAGCCCTTTATTTTTTTTGTCATTTCACACAGTGTCCAGAAGGTGGTGCTGTGCTCTGGGAAGCATTATTATGCCCTGCTGAAACAGAGGGAGGCTTCAGCAGCCAATCAGAACACTGCACTCCTCCGCGTGGAGGAGCTGTGTCCGTTCCCTTTGGAGGCTCTGCAGCAGGAGCTCACCAAATACACAAACGCCAAAGGTACACACTGTTTTAGACACACTGACTGCTTACCAGGACAAACCAGGGCTTGTTTATGAGCACATTTAAACTTTCACTAAATCTATTTAACACTTGGATTTAGTCACTTTTCCTTGTGAATGACTGTTTTCCTCACCATAAATTACCAATCAGATCATCATATCACTTCAGAGGACAACAATAACCCCACAGTAAATACAAAGGCTAATATAATGTGAGATCGTTTTCACACAAAAAAGAAGATGAAGATTTAGATTAAGAGTCTGCCTGACAGTCATGATTTTTTATTTTTTTTGGTTGCTTCTTTGGACACATCATGTTTGGTTTTGGTCTTCAGTGACAGGGATCCGCAGTGAGTCGTGGCTTTTGACCTTTCTTTTTAAAAAGATATTATAGCACACTACCGCAGAGATACATCATTCTCACTTTGAGTGTCGCACAGGAAACAAAATAATTGCAGAAGCCGATGTGAGTCATAGTGAGTTGAAAGCTTTTCAGCTGCGTGCAGCAACTTCAATAGAGACCCGACAGTCGGCTCTTTTGGTTTGTGAGTCTTCAGGACAACAGTAGACATCTTGTAAAGAAAGCAGTCGATGCTAATGCGTTCGTTTTTTCTGACACACAGCAATCTGAAGTCTCAGCTAATTGAATTCACTGCAGGGTGACTGCAGAGGTGTTTTTGTTATTCAGCCACGGAGTGTGAACAAAATGAGTGTCTGTCAATCCACACCTAATCTGGGATTGCTTCATTTTGTTTTGCAAAACTTTTCAAGAATGAGGAACTACTGGCTACAGTGTTAACATCCTTGTCTTCTCCTAGGAATCCTTTGTGTTTGAAGCTTTCAAAATAAGTGTATGAACATGATTTAGGTTTTTCTAACAATCTAAAAACTCAATTATTTCGACATCAGAAAGAGAGGATTGATGACAGCTATTATAAAGAGCTTGAATTCTGAAATCACTCCGAGGTTTGTATCAGATTTGATGTTAAAGCTGAAGTTTTGAATCTTTAAAACTGCTGTAGTGGATTTTAAGAAGTAATTTCTTCCTAGCAGATGTGGTTGAATGAGGCCCATTGTGCTGAGAGACATTTCCTCACTTCAAGTTTCACTTCACCTTCTTGTGTTTCATTACTCTCCCTGGCACAAACTCACTGAAGTAAATCCAGTTCTAGTTTGATTTTGAATGTATATTCTCTCTGTGGTGAAAGGGCAAGAAAGTAACTTAAAGAAGAAACTATTCTTGGGCTGCCAGAGCCTGGTGGTTGGTGTGAGCGCCCCATGTGCAGTTGCCATGGTCCTGCAGGCGGGCAGCTCAGGTTCTGGTCTGACCTGGGGCTCCTTTCCCACATTTCATTCCCCACACTCTCTCCCTGGTTTCCTATTATGTCCTATATCTACAATAAAGGCACAAAAAAGCCCAAAAATAAATCTTAAAATATATATAAATATAAATATGAACAATTTTCCCCATTGTGTGATGTGGACAGAAAACAGTGAATCAGGTCTTTTATTTGTCATCTAATTATATTCATTCCTCCACAGAGTTTGTTTGGAGTCAGGAGGAGCCTGAGAACATGGGTCCCTGGTCTTTTGTAGCGCCGAGGTTTGAGAAGCAACTGGCCTGCAAGGTGAGCACTGTTTCACAAAATATACTGTACAAATGTTTGGCTCTGAAATCAAACTTCGACATGACTCATACTTCATACTCGTCTCTCCTGTTTAGCTGCGGTTAGTGAGCCGACCTGCTCTTCCCGCTCCTGCTGTCGGCATTGGGACCCTCCATCAACAGCAGCAAGAGGCCATCCTCACCTCTACCTTCTCCTAACACCGAACGGGACACAAGCATCAGAACTACACTACATCAGTCATTACTACATAACGTATCTACAGTGGTCTTCCCACCACATGGGGATGGTGCATGGCAAATAAGTGGGACCTTTTGATGGAATGGATGTGCCGTTTTTTTTTTGATTAGATTGAGCAATAATATACAGAAGAAAATTAAAGTGGTAAGGTTCAGTTTGGATCATTTTATTTATATTCACAGGCTGAAAAAATGGTTTTGATCGTGTTATAGTTTTTAGGCACGGCCAGATTTCCTGTCTGCCCCTTTCTCTCTTTTACTCTGATGGTATCCTTCATGTGTTCACTTACAGGAACTACGATGAGAACTAATGACTTCTAATTTGGTTTGAATCTAAATCGAGGCCTTAGAGACAACGTTTACAATGTGATTGTGGTGAGGAAGCACTTTTAGTTGACCGTCATGTTTGTTGCACTTGGGACTGCAACTTATCTGCATCAGCCTGTAATATCTCAAGTTTGAGCTAAACACTGTTAAGTCATCTCGTTCATTCAGTCTGCATGAGTTCATGCTCATTGGTGTACTGACCTAAACAGATCATATGTGCTCTAAGCTGATAGAGAACCCTAATCACCGTCCTTTAAATATTTATGTAGGAATGAGAGCACAGAGGTCACCAGCAGCTCCCCTACAATGTCCTATGGATGAGTCCTTTCCGCAGCAGCCCGGGTTTGATAACCCCAAAAAAATCATTTGGGAGTGCTGGGATCTTTCTGAGCTAACAAAGGGATTTGTTACTATTTTGTCAAATGTTAATCAAAGCTTGAGTTTGATGAATTTCGACGTTTTATTGAGTAAATTTAGAACAAGAAGTTGTTCATCATTACATGAAATCACAAGACTTGAATTGATAACTAGTAGTATTAAAGGGCTAATGTACATAAACCAAATCATTCAAAAATACATATTTTCAAATAAATCTATTTTCAATGTTATACATCATGTTTCTTTCAGTTCTTTCTCCTGATGTGTGTTTAAGAGCAGACCTACATGCTATATAAAAGAAAAGGTGTCTCTTCATACAGACAGTTTTTTGTCCACTCTCCACTAGCTCCACATTGTTTTTTTTTAAATCAGTTTCACCGGGCCTCATTTCCCCTTATGAGTTACTTAAATCCTCATTTGTTTATGTGGTGAACTAGCCTTAACATAAATAACCTTGCTGAGTATTGAGTCCACTAACAGCACCTTTATTTTAATAGGATTTTCTTAGTTTAACTCCAGGCTTCAGGATTCTGCCCCCAGGTTCCCTCCCGTTGGTTTAGCCCTCTCTCATAAGTGGCTGGTTTCTTGTTCCTAAGCTACACAGCCGATCATTACTCGCGTACTGTAGATAAGACCGAGAATGGTATCTCAGTCTGCCAGTGCCAGAATCAAAACAAACAATTTTTTTGGGGTTAAATTACCGCAGCTAACAGGAAATCTACTGTCTGAAATAGAAGCATTTTACAGAACGGTTTCAGGAAGAACTCTACAGAAAGCTGTTTCTGCTCGGCCCTGGAAGAATCTAAATTTTTCCGTTTGTTTCTTATGCAGATCATAAAAGTGTTTTTGTCTTGATGGTACACATTTTCATATAGTGCCTAAACCCACCTGTGATGTGTGGGAACTTTTATTGCCCAATTATCACCTTTATTATCTAAGCTAATTTTCAGCTGAATCTTTGTGTAAGGATTTTTTCCCTAAACACGTCTGTCTTTTCTACAATTCTACAATTCACTTAGCAGACGCTTTTATCCAAAGCGACGTACATCAGAGAGTAAGTACAACACAAGCAAGGATCTAGAAAAAAGGGAACAATGTCAGTAAGAGCAAACGATCAGCTTTGAGTCTGATTGGACACACAGGTGCTGACAGGAAGTGACCACAAAGCACAACACTGACGGCAGTTCTTGAGCGCTCTAATCAGTATAGAAACCATCTTATAAGTCGTCGTTATCAAACAAAAACCATCATCATCGTCAATAATATCGAGACCATCATCATTAAGTTTTCTATTTGAAGAAGTCAATGTAAGAGGAGGCTTTTCTCTCTCTCTCTTTGTCATGTTTGAGCTGTTGACAAACCCGCTCACAGATACATTACTGCCACCTGCTGGACTGGAGTGAAACAAGGGGAACTGATTTGAGGAGGGCAGTACAATTTAGACAAAAATGATTAAAAAAAAAAAGAGGGGCTCTAAAGTGTGACTTGTGTCCATTTGTTTGTACCAAAGTGGCATTTAAAAATAAGTAGGCTAGGATGTTTATTAATACATATTTTGCATTTTTTGATTCAACATTGTCATTTGACTTTTTCAAATACAAATAAAGACTGGTGGTCAGGTTTAGATCCAGAAAACATTCTCACACGTTATTATGAAGCGGTATGACAACTACAAGCCTATAAACAAAAAAGTGGAGGAAAGTTGAAGGGTGGCCAAGGGTCACCTGCTGAGCATGCCCCCTCCCCCCCACCACCCTTTTCTCCTTTCTTACGCCCCTGCCTTTACATTTCATTGCATTCAGATAAGAGCCCTTATTCGTGTATAGCAGCCACAACACACAACGAGACGTGGTTGAAAGGATAAGCAAAGCAGAAGCAGACTTTGCCAGTGATCAGTCCGGTGGTGGAGTTTGCACTGGGTCGGTAATTTGGTGCAATGCGAACACTTCAATCGTTCATCGTGCGCGCTGTCAGTTAGAAAGGCGGGAGCAGCAACCTCCCACTCCCCCCCCCCCCCCCCACCCCGATTGCTATAACAACCACAGGGCGGTCGGTGTGACTCGGTGCCACAGCAGCAGCACGGCTCAGATGCGACTTGCCAGGTGCCACCCTCCTCCAGCAAGTTAAAGCCCGCCCTGAGCTCATCGCTGCGCCGTTTGACTGTGACTGAAACCCGCCTGGTAACATAGAGAGGGAGGAGGAGTGAGTGAGTGAGTGAGTAAGGGAGGGAGGGAGAGCCGTGTTTCCCCCCCTCGCCACAGTGATCAGAACAGTGGGGAAGCTCAGACTCGGGATCCGCTACGTCAAACAGATTAGTGAAATAACCTCTCGGGGGGGGTAGGACAGAGATACACCTCCCCTCCTGGCTGCATACATGGGGCCGAGGACGCAAGATAGTGTGCGCTGACAAAGAGCCAGGAAGCCCTTGACGAAATAGAGAAGTGCACCAGGCTACTTTTTTCTTTTCTTTATTTTGTTTTTTGTTTTTTTTTTTGTCTTGGGGAAGATCCTCTGGTAGCCTCCTCTTCTTTTCCTCCTCTCTCTCTCCCCCCCCTCCTCCTCCTCCCCTCACCTCCTGGTGCGAAATGGCGAAAGAAAACGGCGATGGATCTTGGAAAAAGCATGTCGATGACATCAAGATAATATTTGACTTCAAGGAAGTCCTTGGGACGTGAGTAACAAGACAACGCAGCCGTGCGGGCGATAACAAACTTTGTATGCAGACAGAGAACAATGAAGACATTGTGGCGAATTAAGGGGAATCAAAAGCAGACTGACAGCTGTTGAATATTCACTGAATGAACTGAGACATGCTCGACGGTGACAGAGAAACAGACTGGGCCTTAAGAAAGAGTCATTTAACAAAAAAAAAAAACAATAATTCGGGTCTATCAGTGAAATAGGCTATTCAGAGAGTGTGAACAAATATTTAATGAGATACAATAATGTGTGAAGTCTGACACGCGTCGCTTTATCAGTTCATTCAAAACTACTGCAGCTACAGCGTGTTTTTTTTTTTTTTTTTTTTATTTATCTTCCCACAGATCAGATCATGCAGTTAACAGCTTTGTGCAGACATAGCCTACATTTATTAGTGCTCGTTTTGTTCACCATTACAACTCTGACAAACACAGCATTTGGGCCTGTTTTCATACACAAAAGATTAAATGAGCTCCCAAATTAAGGCACCGTCTGAGAATCTGACTTTGAATTCTTCTCTTCCTTTTCTTCTGCAAACAGAGTGAACAGATTTGAGCTGAGAAACATTATGTCTGGGTTTACAGGCTGCTTGTATACAGTAAACCCTCTTTTTTTTTTTATGAGAACCCATCTGCATCTCGGTTTCATGTCTTTTTGTTATTTGCAGTTTCGGGACCTCTTTGGTTTAAGTTACTCTTCTGCTCTTGGATCACAGGGCAGACAAATTCCACAGCTTATTTTGGTCCTGCTGCTTGACTTCATGTCTTTTCTTTGAATAAGTTGCGTTGCAGGAAAAAAAAAAAAAGAGCCCCAGAGTTCCCCTGATGAAGGAGGCCTGGTCACAGCTAGGTCGAGCTTTTATGACAGAAACATGCAGTCAATCTTCTGATCCACTACTAGGGTGCACACATTTAATGGAGCATATTTCTAATTTTCCCTGCTGCTCTTTGTCCCCAAGAGACATGCCCGTCCTCCCCTGACTGCGAGGAATCAAATGTGGTGATGTTTGTATTGTTTGAGATTCTGGGAAATGTCCAGGAAGCATTGTCCCTGGGGAAATATTTTTGCGTGGGTTATTTTATTTTCGGAGAGAAGTAGTGTCAGGCTGAGCAGAAAATGGGCTTTTGAGTCTCTGTGGTTGTTGCACGAAATAAACGTATTGAGGTCTACTGGATTAATATATTTCACCTCATTTTTGTTTGAACTTAATCTTTGTGTTCTTGGTTGTCTTCGCCGTCTTTAAACTGTGAAACATCGCAGCTGGACATGACTGCGTGGTTCCTGAGGAACGGCATCATAAAACTGTCTTGCAGATTGGTGATTCATAAAGCTCACTCAACACTTCAGCTGTTTCTCTAAACAGTCAGACGCTTCTACCTGGAGGCAGCTCTGATTTCCCCAAGGCTTTCATTTATGTGCGAAGAGCCTCTGAATACAACCGGTGAATCATCGTGACTTACTGTCCACACAATGGCCAGGTTGGAGGAACACGAACGCATCCCTCGCCCACATCTCGGGGCCCAGTGTGTCACCGTCAGGCCCTTCTGTTACTCGCTGTACTGCGTGTGCTTGTCCTGATTGACTTTGAGTAAGTCCCGTTTACAAGTTTCCTGTGTGTGTTATTCAGGGAGTGCATTGTTGCTCCACAGCGGGGTTCAAAACAGGCCACCTGCGACAGAAAAGCCCAGCAGCCCTGCAGCTTTGCTCGAGGATTAAAGATGGACGTGGAAGGACTGTTGGTTAGCAAGAGACGTAGATTATCCTCCTTTTCCTCTTCCTCCTGCTCCACCTTTCAACTGTAGTTCTTTTGTCTGGGTTCCCAATTCGGGATCATCCCTCAGCAGGGATCTTCTACCAAGCAGAAGTAACTCACGTTAGTAGTGGAAGTACATTTACATAATAGCTCACTCTGCAGATACATATTTGACACACTAGACCTCCCTGCGTTTTTTATGAATATAAAAGCGGTCCAAGGTGGTTAAAAAAAGCTTTGTCTCCACCAGTTACTTTACATTAGTAATAATAATAATCAAATATTAAACAATGATAAAGAGACATGGGCCTTTGTGGCGCTTTGACATATTTAGACCGTACCATGTTGTTATTGTCATTTCAAACAGGTAGTACACAGTGAGGTGAATCGATTCCCCCGAGACCATGCGGCTACTTTTAACAACACAGACACATGGGAGTACACATAAACCAACTGAGGAAACACCGACACATACACAAGACTGAATTGAGTGCCTGAAGTGTATCTGAGCAACTATAAACCACAAACAGAGAATGAATGAAAATGACAAAATGGCCAGCTGTGCACACCTACAGATCGATGATATTGTTAAAGATCAATATCATGGTTAAACACTGATGTTGATAGTACAGGTGTAACTGTGAGCATTGTTATTCAATTTTACTTTGAGATCATTTTGCTGACAGAAGGACTGTCAACTGTAAAATAGTATTTCTATATTTTTGCTTCTATTAAGTAACTGGCTTGAATTCATATAACACATTGTCAGACTTGTTTTTAAATTACATTTTATTCTTTATATAAACACTTGTATTTAAATACTTGAAACATTCAGATGTGTTATTCTGAAAATAAAGTGCACATAAAGATCGATTTACAAACAGCAATTATATCAACAACAGCTGGAGGACACACTGTGTGTGTGTGTGTGTGTGTGTGTGACTGATGACTGATTGGATATTGACAAGTTTTGTCGGAAGAAGCCTGCAGCATGTGGCAGTAACACTTTAGCATACTTCCTTCTTGTGTTTCCTTGAGTTAGCTGTTGTGAGCTAATGAGATCTTCCCCACTGAAGCCTGGGTTCCTCCTGCCTCACCGTCCCTCGCCTTGCTGCTAATTTCAGACCCTTAAGCTGCTGATAGTCTGTGGAAGCAAATTAAGTAACCTGACCACACGAGCACCTTCACAGATCCCAGTGGAGAATGTGTTGTGAGCGTTAAAAGACAAGGAGGGTTGGTACTCACAGTGGGGGCGTTCAAGTGTTTTGTTGGACATAGTTTCTGTTTCTCAAACACCTAAACACCCCCACTAAGGGTTAAACATTAGAGCCTGACTGGTAAATAAGATGTAACAATACAACTCTCCCAGTGGTAGGGTTACTGCCTCATTAGGGGAGCATGTGGTGCAAGATGATGCACATCATGACTTCGAAATATAGGAAACAGAATGTTTGTGTCATGTTGTATATTTCTGTATATTATATATAGAATATATATATATATATATATATAAGTCCTGTGCTCATGGTGGATTAATGTTGGGTCTTTGTAAATATTATAACAAACAGTATGATCTAGCCCCGGCTCTTTTTGAGAAGTATCATGAGATAACATTTGTCATGAATTGGCGCTATACGAATAAAGGTTGATTGATTGATTAATTGATGAACACCTACGCTCTTGATAATATTGATGCTACTCAAATGATCATGATGCTGTTGATGGTGATATTAAAAAAACGAAGAAAAAAACTATTCTATCGCCCCTGTTCACCATCTGTCAGCACCTGTGTCCAATCGGATTTAAAGCTGTTTATTGGCACCTGCTGATGTTGTTTCCAGCTCTATCTAGATCCTTGCGTGTGTTGTTTACTCTCAGATGTAGGCTACGTCGCTTTGGACAGACAGTGTCTGTGAAATTAAATTGTAAAATTGTATGTTATGTACATGAGTCAAAACTCCTTCTGTTTAAAATGTCAGTATTGCTGTTGATTCTACAATTGGTGAATTATTTTATGTAGCCAAAGTCTGACTGTACGAGGAGTAACACTGAGAGAGATTTGTCGGGGCCATAGGCTATTTGCAAGTCACGCTGGAAAAAAAACAGGGAGATGGATGTTTGAAATGTCGTTTGAATAGTTAAAATGTGTTCAGCCATCGTGGAGGTATCAATGTCTAATCTGTGAGCTGTGGGTAGGCCTATTTGATTTTTAAGTAACATACAGTAGAAAACACATTTATTTGCTCTAAAGAAATGACATGCCTGAGAACATTCGTAGATGTCTTCATAACTTCCTAAAGTGGTAACACAGCATCTATCTATCTTATCTCTTTCTCTCTCTCTCTCTCTCTCTCTCTGAATATGAGTTATATATCGGGCCAGTTTTTGCTCTGTTTTTGGTGGTTCTAAAATAACATCTGTCTCCTTAGCTGCTAAATGCAATTGCTAAATGCGCCACACTGTTCACCAGCTAGTTGCTAACTGTGTGTCTGTCTTCTGTTTGATGCTCAGTGGGTAGTTGTTAGAGGTTTATTTTCACCAGGGATAATGCTTTCAATCTGCATCCCTAGTAAGTGCTTTGTCAGGTATTACTTTCTGATTTCAATGTGCTAAACCAAAGTTGTCCTCCATTAGTCCCCACTCCAGCCCATACGAAGCTTAGCTGTGGCTGACTAATTCAGGTCAATTTTGGTCAGACAAAGCCTCCCATTTTTTCCCTAACAAAGAATTAAATTGTGATATAATTTCTGAATAAGCAGCAGGCCTCTTCCACAGATACGAAACTGGCTGTGGCTCTGACTCCTCCGTGATGCTTTAAACTGCATGTTGTTGCCTCCCTGCATTGATCATATACACAGTTTGTGTGTATTGACGAGTTGGGTCATTGATGCAGTAGAAATGGCAGCTAGGCAACTAGGATGATGAGAGTCCTTAGTTGCTCCCTCTAAGGAGACCAAACCAGTATACCACTGTCCTCCTGTGGTGATATACTCTGTCATTGACCGTCGCGATGGAAATTCAAATAATTCTCTAAAATGAGGCAAAGTATGTATTATGTGTAGTCATTTTCCCTGCGTCCATCTGTATTCTTGTCCCCCTCACTGCAGTGAATGCCTGCAGAGCCGTAGTGTACTGTCCTCGCTGCATTCACAGAGCTGAAGTGCAGCAGTCTGCCTTGTATCAGAGCACAGGAGGCGGTAATCACCCTCATTAAAATA